TCACCAACTCTCATCAAGAAAATCTTGATACTTTCTCTCTCTTATTCAAAACCAACTTTTCACAAACAAAATTCCGCATTCACAATATCTAGACACATCTAGCCAAATTCGAAGTTTCCTTTGCCCTAGATGTGAAAGGTTTGATATTTCTGAGGGTTTGGTCCCAATCATTTACTTCAATTATTTTAATTTAATTGTTTTTTTTATTATTTTCCTTGAAGTTACTAACGTGTGTATTTTGTTATTAGAAAGAGAAACGAGGCATCTAAGTAAGTACTTTACTTGTTTAATTGATATTTTGATATAGAAATCATGCTTAGATTGTTATTCCTAGTATCATGTTTAGGATGTTTTTATTCCTTCCTAGTATCATGTTTAAGGTAAAGAATATAATGTCAATTATGATTTCTATGATGCTTCTTATTTTCTTTCCTAATATCATGTTAGTATCATGTTAGGGTTAAAGCTTTAATTTTTGATGTTTAGTGACATGGTAGGATTTGTTATTTAACATGTTAGTATCATGCCTAGGATCTTGCTATTATTATGCTTTATTATTAACATGATTATAATTATTTTGATTATTTATTATGAATATAATTATGTTGCTTGATGCTTATTATTGTTATTGCTTGATCACACCTTTTAGGCATGTTTAAAGGGAATTGGTACTTGTAATCACGCTTAATAAGATAAGTAATAATCTTGTGTAGGGTTAATTTGATTATAATTCAAGTGATCGCCAATAGTTTTATTTGTGCATAATATTCAACCAACATAGATAAACAGGTTTAGGGTTAATCTATTGATTTCATGTTAGTTAGAAAGAGCACATGAATACGAGGAGAATAAAGTAGAGGCCTATTATTAGAGCAGGTTCTTTCTCTTTTAGATTGGATTTGTACCTTCATCCCCGAACTTCCTGTCTTGGTTCCAGACCTACTGGAGTTGACGATCTCATGGATCGTTAAGGGGTGTAACCTTCACCCTGTGAACGGTTTACAAGTTCCTAAAACTTATTGGCGACTCTTTTGCTCTAGCTTCCTTCCCTTTGGACGCCACCATACTTGTATGATCACAGTGGGGTTAGTTTGGGGTAATGCTTGAAATATTCCCTACAGGGAGATAAAATGCGTGAAGGGTTCACGCGGAAAGGACACAGAGATGTCCCGTGTCACAGCACTAGCACCGTATCACGGGAATGCACACCGTGCCGCGGCATTGAGCCCCGTGATGCGATGCTTTTTGCCGTGACGCGGGAAAATCTGCGTCCATTTTTCCGTTTAAATACATTTTGCCCTAATTTTGTTCAGCCTTTTAAAGTGCCGATTGATAATTTCGGGCCATTTATGATTTATTATTTATTAATTGGGCTAAATAAAATAAGTAAAAAGGTTTGGGCCAAATTAATAAATACAATAAATAAAAAAGGTTTGGGCGAAAATAATAAATAAATTATATAAGGTTTGGGCTAAAATTAAAAATAAACTATGCTTTGACTAAACATCAAGACTGATCCATGGACTATTAAAACTGAATTTAACAAAATACGATTTTTTAAACACTCTCGGGATTAAATACTGAACCCTACCAATAATGGAAGTGAAAGATTGTTCATCATCGGGTTTGGTTTCGGGGAGACATTTTTAGGTGTCTACAATACCCTAATCATGTGTGATCATGGAAATTTACTTTAAATCCCTGCACATTACTCATGGATGCACATCTATGTTACCATTCTCAAGCCACGACTCATTGTTAGCTCGTGCTTATAAACGAATTCCTTGTTAAGGATCTGATCCTTGTTAAGATTTGTGCTTGCAACATCAATTCTCAAATTGTATTTGTTTCCACATGCCTAGAACTCCTCCTGTTACTTATCCAAGTACTTTGGATGTTCTTTGCCATAATCTAACGATCTATTACATAGATTCAGGTTGATTGGTACTATATAAATACTTCACATGCTCTAAGCAAGTAAGTCATGTGACGATTCCATATCGTAGCGTATATGATGGATTTAATTGTAGAATGATTCTCAATCTTTTTCCACCCACGTTGCATTTTAGCTCATTCAGTTTCACTAGGTCTTGCTAAACAGTTTGCTATGTGATATGGTTGAAAGTCTCTATTAGAGTCTTTCTTTTTTGACTTAGTATTTAGCCTAGCTCACACTTAGTTCAAACATTTACTTAGTTTTCACATACGGGTTGAAAGTCTTTCAAAGTCCTTCAACTCATGTTTAACACAGTAAATTCCTTTACACTTTCAAACATTTTATTAAGTCTATACAATAGATCTTAATACCCAATATGTACTAAGTATCCTCTTTTGCTTGGTCAATTGTCGAAAATACTTTCAAATCTAAGCATTAAGCATTTGACAGTTAATTTACAACAGAGTTCGTAAACTTCTTGTTAGACCTGACGAGATTAACTCTTGCTCCCACTAAACTTCTTATTCATAAGAATTTTTCTATGTGTTTTCATATGTCAATCCTTTTATTAAATTTACGATAAAACACGTTTCAATTCCTTTATGCAATGCTTCCTTCAATCCCATAATGGATTTCTTGAGCTTGCTTTCAAATCTAACATTATTTAGATTTTCAAAACCCTTAGACTATTTTCATAGTCGCTTCCAAAATCCTATTTTAGGAAGGCGGTTTTGGTATCTATTTTTCCATATTTCATATGTGCAATTTTTCTAGAATAACCATGAAAAGACTTAAGCATTCTGATTGGTGAATAGGTTTTTATTCAAATCAACTCCGTGAATTTAGTTATATCCTTTTCAACCAATCTAGCTATGTATGCATATACATTTCCACATTTTTTAGTTTTCTCCTTGAAAAGTTATTTGCGATCGATGGGTCTTTCACTCTTCATGCAAATTAATCAAGTTTTAAACTTGATTTTCAAACATGGAGTCTATTTTGGATGTTATGGCCTCTAATTATTATTTGGAATTTGGATTTGTCATAGCTATCTTACAAGACATTATTCCCTTACTATCTAATAGTAAATAGCATACTTGTAAGTCTTAGGTTTATTTCTAACTTAATAGAAAATTTACAGGATTCAATCCAAGCCTTTGGTGAATTCTATACCTATACAGGGTTATTGAATCAAACAATCAATTTCAAGGCTATTCCAAAGCCCTTTGATTATCTTGATCTTACTCCAACTTTTCAAAAGCTTTGTGAGTAATGAATTCTATTTTAAGGCACTTGTAAAGTCCTTTTGAGTATTATTGATCAAGTATTCTTACAAAGCCCTTTTAAGGTCTTTTGAGATTCTCAGTTCTAGTTTGTTTCTAATCTCGATGGTCATCGAGTTCATTTTCCTCCCACTTGTCGTTTTGGAAATGTGTTACTTTCTAAAAAGACACCACTTAGACAACAAACATTATGTTCTCATTTAGGTTGTGGAGGTAGTGCCCGTAGTCTCACTTGAAAGCTTTCAAAGAGACATGTATATTGTCTTTGGGTAAAAGTTCGTTGTGAAATTAGCTCCCACTTGAGCTATCTTAGCCTTTAATGAGCCAGTAAGCTCCCACTAAACCACCTAGCTCTTGCTAAGCCAGTGAGTTCCAACTGAATCACTTAGCTCCCACTGAGCCAGTAAACTCCCACTGTCTAAGTGTTTTTAAACATATACTTGAAAAGACATTTAGAAGTTAATTCTATCCATAACTGAATGTGGTGTATTTTCTTAGATCTGACATTTTTTTAGTGTAACATTAGTCCTTTGTGCAAATCTTTAAGAACTTTATAGGAAGGGGTGTGATCCATTAGTGTTCGAGTCATTTTTAAATGGCATCGAGGTCTCCGTGAAGACACACTATGTTCTTCTTGGAGTTATTTATGAAAATTTCAATTTCATAACTTTGTGATGGTCACGCTTGGCTCAAGAAAACATCGCTCGATCTAATCTAGATGTTTTGATATCTTGCCAAGTTGATTCTTTATTTCATTGAACTCTTGAACTATTCAAGGTCAAGTTTGTTCACATTTGATGAATATATTCATATTCTTTCAAATTCTTCTTGAGGCGTTGAAGTAATTGAATCATCTTTAGCGTTCGGAGTCAATTGTCTATACCATGAACAATAGCTCTTTACTTTCGGTTTTTAACAAGTAAGACTTACTTGTCTTAGAATGATTCCGAATCGATCAACTGTTAAGAGCCTATATAACCTTGAGTACGTTCTTGTTAATATGACATTGCTAAAGATGTCTGGAACACAAATCATGCCTATGATTTGAACTTTGTGAGTTTTTATGTTAGGGAAATGTTTGTTTATAATCAAGAAATCTTGACTCATGGTTTAGACAACCATGCCATTCAAATATATTTGCAACTATTGATCCTTACCTTGAATGTGATTCTTTCCGTGTTTTAACGAATTTGTTTGTTGATTATGGAACACACACTACTATAAATCCCGTGATTTTGAGACGCTTTTTTGCTATTTTATCGACGTTTAAAAGCGTCGCAAAATATTTTGTTGACGCTTTGGAAAAGCATCGCAAAATACCGAGTCGATATTTTTGCGACGCTTTTTGGTGATGCAAATGTCGACACCTATATAGTCCAAAGATTGTCGATGCTTTTTTCTGTCGTCATTGTGGACGCTTTTTATGACCACATAATTGAATTTATCGTCCATATTTTATATTCATGCGCCATCTATAAATACTGCGATGCTTTAAGATGTCTAATTGTTGACTTTAATTTTTGTCCCAAACATACTATGACGCTTTTTGTTGTCCTCATGATAGCGGTGGAAAATTTTTTAAGTCATAATACTTGACAGCAAAAGGCGTCCTGAATTATATTGTAGGTTTTTTTTTTTCATAAAAAATATCTATTTTATTATTTATTTGTAATAATTATATAATATTATTTTTAAGGGATATATATATATATATATATATATATATATATATATATATATATATATATATCAAATTAAACATAGCAGATTAAAACATGAAATTTATATTAATTAAAGTTAAAATCAAACAAAAATACTAGCTACATAACTTTATCCAAAATACCATCATCCGATCCTAACAATCTTGTCAAAAAAATAAAAAATAAAATTACCATCCTAACAATCCGAACTTTCAAAATATATCATCTAAATAACAATGTACAATATAGCAGCTAAAAAAACCCTTAGATCGAAGCTTTGAAATTAAAAGCTATAACTAGCTAGCTAGGAATGATCTAATTAACTACATAGGATGCATCAATGCGTAGGTAGTACTGTAGTAGGCTAGTTTCAAGTACGTAGCTCAAGATTCCTTAGCTTTGCTTTCCTGTAGCGCTGCATCCAAAACCTGAAAAAAACAATAGTTTGCAATATTCGTCTTTTAATTTATCCCATCAAGTATTATTTCAATACATTATTAAAACCTAATAAATATAAGCTAAACATTTGGAGTGTGCTGAAATTTGGAGTACAACAGCCAAATTTACCTGATGATTTAACACCCTATAAAAATGTTGTCATTGTTGACGATGCATTTGGAGCAAACCCAGATGGAGACGATACAGCAAAGCCAGTCACAGGGCCTTGAAAGACCAGGCTTATATAATTATTAAATCAAATTTTATTGTAGTATAGCCTATCTAAAAACTAACACCAGATTTACATAAATCATTACAAATTTAAAGGAACATAAATGATATATCATGCATCAACAATCTATGGTGGGAGAAAGGAAAAAGATATTTCATCATAAAGCACTAATATAAAGAAGAAACAGATTGGCATGCAAAGGGAAACAATACACAGGAAATACAAGGAATCAAATCTTATAATAATTAATTCTCTCATCCTTCTTACACAACAGTATTTTAACAAATACCTCCAAACCTATTATATCATAGCAACCCACATAAACAGAAAATTGTATTGTTGAAGTAGCAAATTTCTTTCACAATAGCATTTAGCCCAACTTTAAACTACTAATAGAAACATTGTAAAAATAATAAATTCTTTAGATTTTTTGTTTTTTGACAGGAAATTCCTTAGATTCAAAGGACCATAAATACAACAAAATCATAATAAGTAGATACCTGTTGGTTTTCCACTCCCAAGATTGATTTAGCACAATCCATAAGTCCTGTTAAACTCTTTCCTTCACAAACTGCACCGACAACTTGAGAGAATTGTCCAATAAGTGTTTTAAGAAGATTGTTATTCTCTTGTACTTGGTCTTTTAGCTTTTCATTTTCCTTCTCAAGTACTTCATTTTTTTGTTGCAGAGCAGACACTTCTTTTACATTATTATCCATTACTACAGTCCTTTGTCGAATTTTTCAAGACCCATCCTTCCTTAGCAAAGCATGCACCCCATAAATGTCATTCTTTCGAACCCCAAGTCCGTAACCTGTAGAACGATCAGGGATTTCTCCACCATGCATGGTCTGTTCAAAGGCTTCATCTTCGAGTTCCTGTTGAGACTTAGAAGGGTATAATATCCTCAACTCTTCAACCTTGGCTTTTGCATCATCCTAAATAAAATTTAAGTTAATAATGTAATAATAGAACATCATTACTACATAAAGTATTTGGCTTAACAAAACTTATTTAGATATTTTACCACAAAATCTTCAGTGACTGTGCCCGGAAGAAAGCTTCCATCCTTTCCTGTATGTTCTTGTATCCAGAGAGCTAATAAGCTCATTTTTTCTCTATGCTCATCTTCCTATAAGTAATAATGTATCAAGAATTATTCAAATATGAGGAATAAAGTACCATAATCAGTCGATAACAAAAGAGTTTAATACATATTATGCATGGTAATTAATACTATTATTTCATACATAATCGGCTTGTCGGTTCGTAAAACTTTTACAACCAAATCTATGTAATTGATTTAGGTTGGCTCGTGCTGCTTTTTCACATGTTGCTAGTGTCTGCACTCACATTCAAAGAGTTGTAAATAAAATAATTAGACGTATATAATAAATAAGAATCACACATACATAACTAGACAGTGGTATACTAATCATCAGTTTACTTATTATTTTATTCCTGAACAAGACATATGTTGCAAGACATATTATTCAAGTAATTGATACAATGTTAGATGATTGTTAGAAATTAATGCATAAATATAGATTCATGTAATTAAACTGTAAAATGTACTTACTTTTCCTGTCTCTATATCCCAATACTTAAGAGCTTTACCTAATTTTGACTACTAATCCTATGCGGTGGTACAGCGTTACACATCTCTTCTAAACTTTTTTCTTCTGGTTTGTAGTGATCCCTCTTAAGAGTGAATTTTTATTGCCTCCAACTTTTATTGAAATTCTTGAGGGCTGCTTTGTTATATAGTTCACCTTCTGGAATTATAAAGCGATCCTTATGCATGAAAAACAAATAATTCAAGTAAGAATGGTCACAAGTTTATAAATATATGAATCTACCTATAAATAATTCAAGTAAAAATGGTTTCACATACTCTTATCTCTGTGATTATCTTCTTTTTAAAATGCTCATCAAGAGCATGCCAATACAACTCTCCTACCGGACAATATGTCTCTATCTTTGCAATACTACCAAGGAATCGGATCAAAATATGTCCACCTTTCTGAATGGGTTGGTATAAATCAATAAATTGAACATAGAATCTGACACCATTATTACTCCAGACATCAATTGGCTTAATATAACCACTCAACAGTACAATATGACCATTTGCATCTGCATAAAGGAATAGGACTTATAATTTGAAAAAATGTGTGTTTTTAAGATGACATATGCATGATAAGAATAAAGTGTATTAATAAATAGAGAAGAATATAGTGAACATACCTATTGTCATAAACTCTTCCTTGTCATCAAAATCTATAAACATAGGCCAATCAAGATGAGACTTTGACCGCAGATATTTGAATGGTTTTAAGCCTTTTTCTAATGCTTCATTATAACCAACATCAGGTTGTTCTTCTCTTTTCTCACGTAAATTATGTGAGTTTGAGTTAGCAGCAGGGTATTTAAGGGGCTGGTTAGAATTAGGAGAAGTAGAAGGGTTTGAGTTAGTAGCAGGGTATTTAAGGGGCTGGTTAGAATTAGGAGAAGACGTAGAAGGGTTTGAATTGGTAACAGGGTATTCAAGGGGCTGCTCAGAATTAGGATAAGAAGTAGAAGGGTTTGACTTAGTAGCAGGGTATTTAAGGGGCTGCTCAGAATTAGGAGGAAAAGTAGAAGGCTTTGAGTTAGTAACATGGTATTTAAGGGGCTGGTCAGAATGAGGAGAAGAATTAGACGGGTATGTTAAAGGTTTTGAAGCTATAGAATATGGGATGTTAGGTGAGATAATGGATGAAAGAGTGGATGACTTTTTTTCCTTCATAACTTGATGGTAAATTAGGTACCTTATGTGAACTTGAAGCTGGTGAGTTGGATGATGATGGTACTTTGAGTGGTAATGCCTCTAGTGCCTTACGTGAGCTGGTTGCAAATGATGGTGCCTTTAGTGAGGTTGTTCGTGCCTTTAGTGAGCTTGCTGATGAACCAGTTGGTGGATTTTTCCATACAGGTCCAACTTTGTTTTCATTAGGAGGTTGTTGGGCACTCTTTAATGTTTTAAGACAAGGAGCCACAACCTTTGATGTAGTGTTAGTTGGTGGAGAAAATGGCCCCCATTTAATAGTCGTGGGAACTTGGGACATTTTCTCAGTAGCATACTTTTTTGTTGGTTGTGATGCATCTTCACTCATAGATGTAGGGGGTGCAGTAGATGCAACTCTCTCTCTCTTCTTTCGATAAGTCATCTCCTGCATGACAAGTAACACATGATTATGCTCAGTATATAAAATCATGTTATGCATATCTAGGTAACATATAAAAGAAAAAGTATACATAACAAGATCAAAGTCGCATCAATCATTAAATAAGGCAACATTTATGTACAAGATAAATATTATAAGTTATGTCACATAAAGACCATCATCTCTTAAAAAATCATCACAAATCAGAATATATAATTAAATAAAATCCATAATTGAATAATGAATAGATGTTTAAAACAAATCCAAAACTAATAATGAACTTATACGATCAACCACAATGTAATATTCTCAAATGAAATATGTCATTCTAAGAGCTCTTCATCATCGGGTATATCAAACAAGTCTCTAGGTTTAGTTTTAATAACATGAAGCCATCCTTTTTTAATCTTATCTTCAATGTAAAAAACTTGTTTGGCTTGAGACGAAAAAATAAATGGATCATCTTGCAAATTCCGACCAGTGTGCATTAACTTTAAAAAACTGACACAAACGCCACCATTTAGGTATGTTTTAACACCCCCTATGTACATCAACCCCAATCACAACGAAACATTATAGCCTTGAAAGAACCGTAATAGTCAAAATCCAATATTTTGTTGAGCTTTCCATAATACTCTTGGCCTTCGGCTTCAATCATAATTCCAGAATTTTGTGTCTTTCGAAATCTCTCACGATCCACGGTATCAAATTTGTATCCATTAATCACCACACTTTTCATCTTTTTTACCCGCTTACTTAAACCACCGGCTAGGGACTTTCTCAATATTCCTTCTATTGTGCTATCATCTAGGTTATGGACCTAGAATTATGAAAGAATTAAGTTACACATTGATGGGTATAATAGTAACTATATAAGAAAAGTTTTCAACATTTTTAAAGCATATAACCTGATTTTTCAACCAATCGGCGAATTCTTTGATTATCCACTGGCTTTTGATGTATTCATTCGATTGACTTCTTCCGACTTGATTCTCTTGTTGTCGTTTTTGTTGTATGAACTCACTTTTCAGAATGAAAAATTGTGTCAATACCATGAGAAGAAGTGAATATACTATAAAATTACTCATAACATATACTACTTACTCAAGAACTGGTTTCATTTCATCTGAATGCAGCAATATGTAGCGATGTGCTTGCATTAAACTTCTGTCATCAAGGTGTACATTTTCTTTCTTTCTAATTACACGACCACCGGAATTGTATATATAGTTATTAATATTTGGAACACCATCCTCATTACTTTTTGGTATACTGAACACCGTCTCAATACTTTCTAAATATCTTGAGCAAAATGTAATTGTCTCCCATAAAAGGAACCCTTCTTCTATAGATCTTTCAGGTTGTGCTTTAATACTTACATGCAATTTCAGAAAGGCCAAATATCTTAGAATATAACAAAGAATATGTATGTTAGTGTATACTATAAAAAGATGACTGAGACATGTAAAATATCCTTTTATAAGGGTGAAGATTAAGATATATGTATTCACCTTTCAATGGGATACATCCATCTGTAATGAACGACTCAGCCGAGTTTAACCTCATCCACCAAATGAATAAGCAAATGAACCATGATGGTGAAAAAAGTTGGTAGAAACTCTTTTTCCATTTTGCACAGAGTTAACACAAGCTCCGTCTGAATGGAATCTAATTCTTTACTATCAACAGCAGGTGAACAAATCTTCTTGAAAAAGTATGACAACTCCTCAAGCAAGTCAATAACTTTTGTGGCATTCGTTGCTCTTAAAGCAACCAGAAGGATATCTTGCATAAGGATGTGGTTGTCGTGGCTTTTCAAATTAATAAGTTTTTGCTGCTTCAAATTGACACATTTTGTAAATTAAACCCATATCCATCGGGAACTCTAAGTCTGTTTAACATTTTTAGAAATTGTTCTTTCTCTTCATTAGATATGTTGTATGCAGATAGAGGCATATATTTTTGAACCCGATTAGGATTAGATTGTAGCCAAAGATTAGATTTTATGTTTAGTTTCTCAAGAGCCTATCTAGCTACCGCATCATCTCTACTTTTTTCCATATCTAAAAGAGTTCCTAAAATATTGTCACACACATTCTTTTCGATGTGCATGACATCTAAATTATGTCTAAGAAGATTGTGTTCCCAATATTCCAATTCAAAAAAAGCACTCTTCTTCTTCCATTAAACATTACCAGCTTCATCTTGACCATCATCATCATCGTTTTTTCTTTTTTTAGAATCTTTTTTATGCTTCCATTAACGTATTTAACCCTTTCTTGCTACTTCAAAATTTCAGTCCCACTTAAGGAAATTGGAGCAACACCATACTCCTTTTTCCCATTAAATAAATGAGCTTCTGAGCGACAAGGATGATTAATTGGCAACCATTTTTGATGTCCAGGATAAACAATTTTACCACCAAATCTATATGCATAAGTAGAATGGGCACAAGAAGGGCAAGCTTTATAACCTCTTGTACTCCATCTCGACAACATAGCATATGCTAGGAAGTCATTTATTGTGGAGTGTAAGGCTGCTCGCAACTTAATGTTTTCTCTACTATAAGCATCAAAGGGATTTACACCTTTCCACAACAATTTCAACTCATGGATTAATGGTTGCAAGTATATATCAATATCGATACCAGGACTATATTTACCTGGAATAATAAAGGACAAAATAAAAGACAATAACTTCATGCAAATCCATGGGGGAAGATTGTAAGGAATCAAGACCACCAGACATGTGCTATAATTAGTATTCATTAGACGGTATGGGTTAAAAACATCACTAGCTAAACCCAATCTCACACTACGAGGGTCAACAGAAAATTCCTTATATTTTTTATCAAATTTTTTCCAAGCCTCACCATCTGCAGGGTGCCTTAAAATCATATCATCTACACGACCAAAATGCCATCGCATATCTTCTGCTGTTTTAGAAGACATATAAAGCCTCTTCAATCTAGGTATGAGAGGAAAATATCGCATCACTTTAGCTGGCTCACCTTTCTTAAAATGTTTCTTTCCTTTCTCAATTGTCTCACTCTCCATCCCTTTCACAGTTTTTCACCTTGATGTATTACACTAATGACATTCTTTTTCATCAGCAAACTCACCCCAATATAACATGCAATTATTTGGACATGCATGGTGTTTTGGGTGTTTTTGTCCCTCGGGAGAGTTACAACACAAAAACTGATCCGGCGTGAGCTGTACCTGCAAAATAAACAGAGACACCCGTTGGGTGGTGCTCCGCCTCCGATGAACAAGTTAGTAACTTGAAGGGAGAGAAAAAGGTGCGGAAATTTAGGTGGGTCTCTGCTCGGATTCCAAGCTCAGATGTCTCTATCACAGGGACAGTTTGTAATAAATGTTTAAAACGTGTCCTCCAAAAGAGGGAAATCTCCCTATTTATAGGGTCCTCGGGATTTGTGCCCCTGATTAGGTCACTAAACCCTAATCATTGGCGGGCTGCGCCGCATTGCGGCTTTCTCGGGATTTGGGCCTGAAGGCCGCCATTCCTCCCAGGTTTCTGGAGTGACACGTTTCAAGCAGGGATAGGTCCACCTTGGGCCATCCTGGGGCTGACACGTGTCGTCCTCTGATTGGACCACGTGGCAGGGTAAAATTACCCTAAACATTTGCCCCTCACAGATGTGACGTGGCACGCCACGTGGCATCTGTGACACGCGTCACGCTCTGGTTGGTGGTAATTTTACCACCAAAGAGTAATCGTTCACCTTCCGAGTAAATTACGGGAATGCCCCTGCATTTACCCCCTATATATAGCCGTTTACCCTCATCATTTTGTACGTTTACAAAAATTTTCAAGAGAGACAACTTTGAGAGAGCAAAAGTCATCCGTTTGAGTCAAGCGCAAGCGAGAAAACTCGTTCTTCGTCAACCCAGCCGTACCCGTCTATCTTCAGTTATCAAATCTAAAGGTACCGTCTCTGCCTCTCTCAACTCTTTTTCCTTGTTTCATCGCTTGTACATATTTCTTGCAATAAATGGATGCATCACCAACACACACGGCACAGCCTAGGATAGAATCCAGCCGGTCACCGGGGACGGCTGAGTCTAGGACTGGGAGTGCCGTCTCGGGGTGTTGGGACCACCCTTTTGCTTGGATTCCGACCATTTATGTGTCTGTGCAAGACATAATGGCTCGGACTATGTAGACGGCTGTCGATCCGGATTACCGAAGCGAGGGCTCAGGCGGCCAAACGCTTGAGGGAGATGCGTCTGGTTAGAGAAACCAGACGGCTCTGGAGAGATCCCCTCCGCGTGCCCCTTCGTCTCCCGCAGATTCCTTTTTGGAAGAATGCGACCAAGACGGCGACGAAGCCGTCTCAGCTCCTTTGCCACAAACTGAGGGGGAGACGGAGAGTGACAGCTCCGCCTCCACTTCTGAGAGTTGTGACGACTTGCCACCGCTTTAGGATAGCGAGGAGGAGGAGAGAAAGAAGTGGAGTGAGAAAGACGACCCCTTCAAAATCCACGTCTCAGCCAAAGACAGGGGTCACATGGAGGAGAACTTAAAAAGATTTAAACAAATGCACCCGTTAGGAGACAGGTACAAGATCAGAGTGTCGCCTGAGGACGGCACCATCGTCAGGGAAGACGATCAACAGAACGCCAACAACTACTTCGGCTGTTATGAGGCGGCGTTCAAGGCCGATCTTCGCTTTCCCCTCCACCAAGCGGTGAAGGCGATCTTGAGAGGCTACGGCCTCGGAGTTTGGCAACTTACCCCCAATTCTTGGGCAAACATCTTGGGGTATGTTGCCGCTTGCGAGCTCCAGGGGCTCCATCCCGGCTGAGAAGCTTTTGCTAAGATGCATTATCTTAGCTGAAGCCGAGGGCGTGGTACACTGTAACCACATATCCCCAATACATGATGACCTTAGACAAGGTCTCCAAATTTGACGGCTGGAAGCACAGGTTCTACCTGCTGTCGGCTCCCAGCAAGCGGGAAAACTACGAGTTCCGCCAATACAATAAGAAGCCCAACCTGATGGGCCGAAAGTGCGCTCTTCCCCGGATCCCAGACGAGGACTTTGACAAAATAATTGAGGCGGATTTTTTCGGCCTCACGGATGCAACCCTGTCAACCGAGGAGACAATAAAAGTTACCAAGAACTGGATCCCTAAGAGCGCCTGGTTCAGGGATGAGTATTTCTTAGCCGCCTGCGGGCTAGGAAACATGTTTACCAAACGTATGCGCCTGAGTTAGTTCACATCCGCCTGTAGTACTTCTGTATCAGAATTGCTTGATGATGTATTAATCAACTTTTTTCTTTTTGCAGAAGAAGCTTTAAGCATGTTGCAGACGGAGAAGACACCCAAACGATCCTCTGCAACCATCCGCAAAGAGCTTGCGGAAAAACAGGCGGCCGCAGTCAGGGCCAAGGTAAAGAACGCTTGACTCTTTCTTAGGTTGGCCTCAAAGTTTACTTTCTCCGGATGCTAACTTTAACTTGGTTATTTTCACAGGGAGGAGAGGTAGGAAAGACGTTTGAGAAAGATCTCAAAAGGGCCAGGGAGGACTCCGCCTCCACCCCTAACAAGACCAAAAAGTCAGCCTCCGCCTTAACTCCTGGCGCCTCAGCCGTGAACCAAAAGATGCGGATAGGGGGGCGAAACGAGAGGATAGGCGGCAGTCTGTGCCTCGACCTCGTCAACCCCTTATCAGCAACCGGGGGGTTCACCACGCCTGCAAGCGGCTCCCGCTTGGCAGGCTCTGAAGTAAGAACCCATTTGAATCCCCGCGGGTTGCCTTTGCGAGTGAAATCCCACTCCCAACAGACGTCATCCTCACACGGTCGGCAACAGATAGGTGCTGCCTTAATTTCGCACTCATCACCTATTGATTATGGTGCAGATCAATCTCCCCGCTGGCCAGACGTCCAGAAGCATGCTAAAGCCATGCTGGAGGCGGTGAGCAAGAAGGACAAGAACGCTATCCCTGGGATAGAGACGTTCAACCTGGAACGAATCTTGTCCCTGAAACTAAAGCAATCACAATGACATAGGCGTCAAGAATCCAGCAGCTGGAGGCGGACCTGAAGACGGCAAACCAGCAGGCGGGCGACGCTGAGACGGCTTAGAAGGGGGCGGAGGAAGCCTAGAAAAAGGCGGAGGAGAGCCTCAAGAAGTCTTAGGAGGCGCTCAAGAAGGCCCAGGCGGACTTTGGCACACTCCAAGGTGTTTCTGAAGAGAACACCAACTTGAAGACCAAGGTTGAGAAGCTGGAGAAGGAGGCTGCTCAGGCTCGGATAAACTTTGTAGCTACTCTGGAGGCGGATTAAAACCGCCTTGTTGCTGAAAGCGATGCTGACAACGATGCCTGCATGAAGATCGCCTGGGCTGCCTTGTACCCAGACAAGGATTATGGCATCTGGGCACTGCTCACAGGTACGCCGAAGATGTGGTGTACTTGAGAGAGAAAGGTGAGCCTGAGTCCTTCGACGCCTGGGCTAACGCCAACACTGAGCTTCCTGCGCTAGAGCTTCCTGGTCCTGGTCCTGGTCCTTGTGAAGTGCATGAGATTCCCTCCGATGATGACCAGGAAGAGCCGCCTGCGGGCCAGAAGTGATTTTTTAACGGCAGTATGCCAACTCTTTTTTTTATTTTTTCTTTAATCTGCGGCAGTATGCCAATAACTTGCTTTTCTGGCCTGTGTGCCGAGTATTCGTGTATTTATCGGCTGAGGAGCCGGGTAATCAACAATTTCTATCTTCTCCCGGACAGGGTCCTGTTAACATTTGATCCACTACAACCGTTTGGTTGGGTGGACTTTTTATGAATGCACCGACTGAGTCGGTTT